AAACCAAACCCGTCCGGGACAGGAATCAAACCCACGCCAAAAAAATAATGTGACTTCAAGCGCAGACGCGCTGTCAATTCGACTATCAGAACTTCCGATTACGAGGTGCAGATAAAGCTTGATATTTTACACACGGCGACACAGCGTTTTATTTAGCACTGGCGCTAATAGCAACGCGGCGTTGCAAATAGCCACTTCCTAAAATTTTTGCTTTAGTGGTGACTGTATAAATACAAGGCTACTGCCAAAATGGAGCAGTATTGTTTTCTCGCAGTACCTTTTGAAGGCATTTTCAAATGAAGTATATAGGCCCTATAGTTCGGGAACGTTGCCCCAACCACAATTGAAGTATATCTGAACGGAAACTGTTTTGGAGAAAAAGAGGTCAAGTTTATTTTTCCGAGTGTTCGGAACAGTCACTACGATGTTTTTTTTCCCTTGTGTTTTTAAGCTTTTCATCCAATTCCCATGTAAGATTTTGAGTTCAAATAAAGTTTAAAAATTACAAACGCCACTTTAATTAAACCGGTCCCCCTTAGTATCAAGTAATAAATTAAGAGCTTAGAGGACCAAGGAAGGATTTAGACCTTGGGACCCAGGCGTAGTATTTTTGTAAACAAAACTGCACGCTGGTCAAAGTCAGCTTGTTTACGTTGTCGCTGTGTTTTTAGTCGTACACACTTGGCATGGAACCAGAGATTGCATTCCTCGCATTCTAACATCAGGTTTCCATCGTCTGGGCAACCGCAAACACAGTAAATTTCTTCTGTAGAAGAAGAAACGAGTCCTGTAGTTGATCTGAATTTTGGGGGACTTGGAAATGCCATAAAGTTCTGAGTTTCGATACACCGCCTCAGATGCTGTCGAACTTCACATTCGTCATACTCGAGTTTTGTGGGATCTTCTCCACACAGCAGTGATGTGGCAAATGCCACTGCAAATGCTCCACAATCTGGAAGAGAACCCTGTAGTCGATTGTTCATGAGAGCAAAGTCAATCGCGTCATCATCACTAAGTATGTATTTGGCCACACTTTCTATAATTTTTGTGGCAGGCAATTGGCCGACAACAAAACATAACAAAACTCAGGGGTAACACCTATAGAATGCGCAACCAAACAGATAGACAAGAAGCGCTTCGCGATCAACAATGTGCGACAATCGATGGATTGTCGCGTCTTTCCTCGATGAACCAAATGCGCTGCGCGATCGATGGATCGCACAAATCAACAGATCGCGCCCAACGTAAACACATGTCTATAGAAATCTGTATGTTGCATTGCATGCATGATATTTGCATTTATGATGTACAGTGAAAAAGAAATTCTAAGGAAAGTAGTCCTTACTAGGTTTCGAGGAGACCAAGTCATATAACTAATAAAAATTATCTTTACTTTGGTGAAGTAAGTACCTTATAAAAAGACTTTGTTTTTATCCCCAGAGCCATGAAAGTCCTTGGAGTAGAGTTTGCTCCTCTGTCTATCCCCACAGAGCGGAGGCTTCAGACTGTTGGTGCTTTACATTATACTTTTTGTTTTCTCTTTTTTGGATTTGGCATGCTGTTCTTTTTTATTTACCTTTTTTTATTCACTTCTTATTACTTTGTGCCTTTGGCATACCTGCTGTGGTACTATTATGATCAGTCAGTGAGTGAGCAAGGAGGTCGACGGTCAAACTGGGTGCGAAGGTCAGTATAACTAGTACTCTTGCAATTTCTTTTTTTTTTTAAATGTTCATGATAGTCATGCAATGTTTTGATCAAAACAATTGATACTTATTTTAGTGAGTCATGCAACCAAAAAAGTATATTAAAATATATTGATTATATTAGTATATAGTATGGTAGTGGATAAGCGATGAGTCAAACCCTATATTCTATCTATATTCATCAGCCAAAGTTAAGTTTTCAATGCTTGAAGGAAAAGATCATGCAAATATTTTTCCTTTTGTAAATAATGTTAATCATATAGGCCCAATGGTCAAATTATTTAAATATGTTTGCTTGATTCATGATCCTTGTTTTTTTTTAAAAAAAGAAATGAATACTGTGACCTAATATTGGTTTCATATTGTATCAATTTTTATTCCTGTCAGTATTTTTCTATGCAGTGGCTTTGAAATTATAGATTTAGATTTGTTAGGAGTTATAAAACAGTTATCAAATTTATAAACTGGATATGTCACTAAATATTGCACTTTGCTCTTAAAAGGAATGGTCTTGGGAAAGTTCCTTTCTCTGCAGGCTGACCTACGGGTTTCTTATCTCAGGCCCACTTCAAGTGATGGAAAATTTTGGCCTGAAGCATCCTGTTCAACTGTAAAGTTTATTGTTCTGAATTTGCAGAATGTAAGACAAATAAATGTGAGGCAGTGTGGTGAAATCAGGCGCTCGTCAAAATAGTGAAAATCTTCAAAACTGGCTTTTTTCCGCAGATTTGGGAATTTTTATCGAATTTTTGTTTTTTGGCTCAACACTTTTCATGCCCATTAAAGAACACATTTCTGTGTGGATTTTACTGAAAAGCATTGATTAAAAGCGTAAAAGATGTAAATCCTCAGTTTCCACGGACTGTCAAGCTAAGGCTGTAACTCAACTTTGGCAGCCATTTTCTCACTAATGTTACCTCTGAAACCAGGCAACCCCCACCTCCTTCAATCGCCAATATCTTGATATCTTGACTTGTATCGAAGATAAATGGACATTTTTTTCATCAAAAGCAAGGCAAAAATAGCCTATGCTTTAAGATGATACCAATAACTCCATATGCCCCAACATCGACGAGCCCCTGACTCCATGGCGTCGTTACACAAATATGTCTGAAGAGGATTAATCTTTAAGGTTTAGGTGCCATCCTAAACTACCATATCTAAAAACTTTGCTTTCTGGTCCATATTCCTTGTCATGTTAAAGTGCTGTTTGATACCTGATGTTTTACTGCTCGTGAGCCCTTGACACCAAGCTCAATATACTACTCAAGCATTCTCTTTTATTGTAAGGAAATGGTAGCACTGCTCAGAACACCAAATGCAGTCTCAAGCTTTGATTGTAGTGCTACTCAAAAAGCGCTGCTCCGAGCACTAAGCTGATGATACTTTTAGAGCGACTCAAGCAAGGCGCTGCTTGTGAGTAACAAGTGGTCGAGCACGCTCGACACTACACTAAATTGTTGGCAACGTGAGACACCAACAGGAAACCAAGGGTTATGGTGGCTGTTTGTCCTCACTTTCTCTCAGGCTCAAATATATTTTGACCAATGTTTGCTCATGTCACCCCATCCCACCTCACTACTAGGTATTTCTTTTTTTTTTACAGCTGGTCTTTGTTCCGTTACTCGGCTAAGTATTTTCCTTTGGAATTAATCAAGACACAAGAGCTCCATCCCTCCAAGAACTACATCTTTGCTTGCCACCCCCATGGTGTGATGAGCCAAAGTCATTTTGTCAATTTTGCTACTGAGGGAACAGGATTCAGTAATGTCTTTCCTGGCATCAGACCCTACCTGTGTGTCTTATCTGGACAGTTCATGTTCCCAGTTTTCAGGGACTACTTCCTGCTTTCAGGTAATATTTTATACCTTTAAAAGAGTGTTCAATATAGTTTTCCTTTTTCGTCATACCACATGTTGCTATTGATAATCTGTGGCTGTAATGACAGATGTGACTGATTCTATCTTTTTGCTGTTGTAACGTCCATAAAAAATACAGAGAACAGTGAAAGTGCCTGTACCAAGTATCTTTCAACCTTGTGAAGCTGGTTTTATGTTATATTGTGCACAAAGGGTTGTAAAATAAGTTTCACCTTTCTCATTCAGGGTTTTTTTTTTCACAGCTTTAAATACAACCCCTGCTCCAATCCCACACTCAAATTAGTTCAACTAAGACTTCTGTGGCACAAAGTATATATGCTTTACTTCTGTACAAATTTTATCTTGCAAGTTTGTCTCAATGAGATATCACTTATCTTTCAGGGGCCGTTGAAGTTTCTCGGAAAAGCATCGAATGGGTTCTCTCTAAAGAAGGGTGTGGCAATGCTGTAGCTATCATGATCGGAGGAGCGGTTGAAGCCCTAGAGGCTCATCCTGGAAGCTGCACACTGAAGATCAAGTCAAGGAAAGGATTTTGTCGCATGGCCTTACAACACGGGTAAGTCTATGATTGAGAGTGAACTAAGGCCACGGCGCACCGGCAGTGGAGTTTTAGTTGCCGCGGGGGGTTCCCCGCCGGGCGCCTTATCACGTCGGAGTCACGGGGGTCAGCTCCCTGTCGCCGCTCTGTCTGGGCCGTCCTAATTTTTGGTACGTTTCAACGTACAATTTAAAGTGTATCCTTGTATTTATGGTAATTCTCATTTAGTGCATCCAAAGCATGCATTTCTGCTCTTGAGACTCAAAAAAGAACGGACGTTGTAACTTGTCTGGTTATTTCGTTAGACGCGCTGGAGTCGGCAATGCTAAATTGTAATTTTTTTTTGACTAGTGTGAATGAAAAAAAATCAATATAAAAAAAAGGCATCGTCAAAATCTGTCCAACTTTTGGAACATGAACAACATAACATTGGTGCAGATACTCAGAAAAGATGATATCTGCGCTTATAATAGAAGGCTGTAATTTTACAATTTTATCCATCGGGCACACAATTCGCTATGAAGTAATTCCTCCAAATACAACTTTATGTGTCTAATATAATCGTGAATATTCGCATATTTTCTCGAAAGTTTATAAAAGTTACCATGAAGTTTCTCTATGAAAAGTACAAATCGATTTTAGTGCTAGAATACATCTTCAACGTAGATCTAATACACGAACAGTATCTGTTACACTCCAGAAATTCCTTACTTTTCTTAAAACGCTAAGTCTAGGTTTTGTAAGTTGACTGAATAATAGGGATGACTTCTCGTAATTGGCTTATAAGAATAATTTCTAGCTTTCCAGGGACACTGAATCAGCACCAGACTTTTCCAGCTTTTTTTTCGTTTCTCTGACCATTTGCAATAACTGACAATGTGACTGATTTGTTTACATTCATAATTGTGTCCGCGCATATTTCCTACACAAAAACTAAGAATGAATGTTTCAACTGTCATTATTTTTATTCCATACAAGAAGTTTATCTCTACCCATATATTTACACGGTTTTGTGTTTTTTTAAATCGCTTATATTATATCTTTTTAGTTGTATGCAGGCTGCCACAGACACAGCATGATTCATGAACAAATGCAGAGTGACTTTCTCTTGTTTAATGGTAAAATAAGAGCTAACGCTGATCGTCTTTAGTTAAAAAATGCAGATGTGCATCTTTCTTCTCTTATAACTTGACTATTACTACTAGCGCAGATTTAAGATTTCTCATGGTAAAAGATATGATATTCGTAGTCAGTTTAACACAGATTTTGGAGAGATCTGTCGTGCCTTTTTAAAATTAACAATCATTTATTCATAAGTTTGTAACTAAAATAGGACAAATTTGGTACTCTACAAACACTTGTCTAGAGCAAAAACTAAGGCACAGAAACTAACCATTCTAACGCAGAATAAATCTCAAGACATTGAGCTTTTAGTACATCCGCGTAATGGTTTGCTATGTGGGAAGAAGTTATATCGTTTTAAACATAGTCAAAAATGCGAACTTCCTGACCGACAGCGGCAAAGTCGCTTCAGGGCTCATTAAACCCGTGACCCCAAGCCGGGGAGCTCCGGCGGGCTGCTGAGTCACGCGAACTAAAAGTAACAGAATCGGGCGAAAAGTGACGCCGTGAGGCGTGCTGAATCTTACTTTCGGTGCACCCATTGGTAAAGATAATTGCGACTTTTTGCGTTTCTTGATTTACTTTACTTTAAGTGTGCGCCCCTTGCTGTGTGAGTCATGTAACATTTTTAAATTTTTGATCAGTTTACCAGTGACGGGTAGATACTTAATTTATCACTCAAAAAGAAAACTCATAAGCATTTCGCACCTAAAATAAATTATTTCTTTAACAAACCTTCAACTTAAACACTACAGCTCTACACTTCCATTTGGAACAAATCTCCAGTGACATTCTACCTGTATGCAAAACAATGTGTTAGATACAGCTGCCCTCACACTTTGGACATTCACTTCTCAAATTGCTGTAGCAAAGAGAGTTCACATGACTTTGAGGTGGGAGCTCCATATTTGATATTACCAGAGAGCAGAAGAGGATAAGCAATTTTGTGAAACATAATTTTATGACAAACTTGACAAAATTTCTTTTTCATTACTGCAGACAGAATACAGGCAAAGTCTATCTTGAATCACACTGTCAAAGCCTTGTAGGTCTTAATAGGGAGTACCAGAAAATGTGAACATTCAAATTGGATCGCACAGACATCTTTCCGAGAGATATTAAAAAAGAGCAACCTGTTATTGCATGTATCTCGGAAGGTTCAACGTGATGTATGCACAGTAGGAGAAGAAATCGAACAAAAAGCTTTCACAAAACCCAGTGGATGGGACGAGGTTTGTGAGTTAGACACTGATTTGTTAATAGGGCGTTGAGAGCATGTACTGCTCTATATCAGAGCAGGACCAGATTAGCTGTCTATATTTTTTATTTGGTCACCAAAGATGTGAAGTGTTACGTTTTTGGCATGAAGGAGAAGGACCGTCGACTGCCTATGAATTATCTTCTAATGTCAGTGCGTTCCTGGAGAGCCTATTGACAATAAATATGCCTCGTTCATTATATACAGTGATACCTGTACTTATCAGCATCACAACGCTCTCTTGTCAAATGCAATCAGTGACCTTTGTACCCGCCAAAACAAAATTATTGAACACAAATACCTTGAAAAAGGACAAACACAAATGGAAGTGGACAGCTCACACAGTGTAATCAAAAGTTTCCTGAAAAATGATCTTCTATGTGCTCATGGATAGTCTTGAAATTTTTCAGAAAGCAAGATAATATCCACCTCCTTCGCCCCTTTGATATTCGATTTCTGGACCATTCAGACCTGGCCAAAGCAAAGGCGACCCCATTGTCACAAAATTTCTTTGAACAGAAACATCCAGTACAAATGAATGTTAAAATGAATGGTCTTTTTTAAAAACTCCACGAGGTCAAAAGCAGTTTTACCCCAGAAGACACAACCCCGATATGTTTGGAACTCCTGAAAATTCAGAAATCAAAATATAAACACCTTCAGAAACTCAAAAGCGTGATTCTTTCTATGATAATCTCACACACTAGGAGTCAATGAATCAAGATAATTTATTATTTTTTACTAAGCAGTTTTCTTTTTTGCTTGTCAAATATATGTGGATACTTCCTTCTTCCGCAGTAAGTTTTTGAAAGTGTTGTTTTAAAAAAAAGGACAAGAATAGAATGAGGTGGCAAGAAGTTGTGTCGCGAATTTTACAGTGTTAATTTCATGACCGACTCATCTTGAAAAAAAAATGAGGTAATGCCATTGAAATAAAAATGTCTGCCCAAAACATTCATGAAAGAATGTCTCTATAACTTATTTTGGTGGTTTTAAACATTAAAATTTAATCTAAATTTTAAATTACATGTATGTACTTTCTGTTTTCAAGCAGTAAACTTGAAGTATTTTTGTACTGGCTTAATTTTTTATTTGGTTTGGCAAAAATAACTGAAATAAAATGGAATGGCTTTATAATTACTCTTAAGACTATAATTATTTGCTTTTGTTTATAACTCAGAAGCCTGAACAGCCATTGGCGCTCGTCGAGTGGCGTTGATTAACCCGATCCAAACGCCTTGATGCCCATCATACTGTCACTCAGGTGGTTGAATCACACAGATTTGGGTACAACTCAAAAGCCGAAGTGCCGTAACTTATGTAACAAAGATTATTTTTTTTTCAAAGTTGATTACATACAATCGTCCTATTGTATCATATATCTGAATTTTAGATTCATAGGTACAAGCATGAAGAAATAAAACAGTTTTTTGAGACGATGTCTTCGGGAGCTTTTTCTACTTAAAAGATTCACCTTGTCCTGTACTCATTTATCATTGCTGGCCTGCTGTACAAACAACCTGTTGTCACAATGACAGTCCTTTTTTTTACTCTTAATATTAATAACAAAGATCACTTCTATCGACTAAATATGGATTAAATCGACTAATACGGAAAGCATGTAAAATTTCAACATCTACATTCCCCTACTTGGATGAATGGTACATAATAGCTTGCACTAAAAAAGAATAATTCCATCTTTTTAGACAACAAACATCCCTTGTTCCCTCAAATAAAAACATCAGTCAGAAGTAAAAGACCTAGGCTTCTGATCCGTAACAAAGAAAGATATAGAAGGTCATTTTTACCATCATTCATCAAAATGCTTCCATCTTAACCGTCTTGTATAAGTATACTTACGACCTTAGAGCATGCATCAAAATAACATTGAGTGTGTATCTAGCTTAAGATTATTATTGTTTATATTGCTTCTCATTTGTATTATGCATGTGATTGTAAGCGTGTGTGTGTGTCCTGTGTGTGTGTGTGTGTGTGTGTGTGTGTGTGTACACATGGTGAAACACCAAACCAATGTGCCAGGATCTAGACTATAAAGTTGTATCTTATCTTATCGCCCCCACTCCCTGGTGGCTCTACGCTCTTCACAATGAAATAAGTTTTAAATCAACATTTCATGCAGATTGGCCTATTTAATATACAATAATTCTTTCAAATAAATATGCATGTGTAACCTGACAAAAAACACACTCATAAAAAGACAAATACTTGTTTCTATTCTGTGTGGTCAGGTCCTTGAAGTTTGATCCCTTGTTTGGTTTGTGTTTAACTGTTTTGGCACGAGGACAGAGGATGTATTGGTCAAATCGTACAAGGCCTTAACTTAATTTAAATATAATATAATTATAGATAGCGTTTGTATTATGCAAATTCCACTCAACAGCAAGTTTTTTGCACTTTACAAGTTATATTATTACCCCAGCAGACCTGATAGCATTCTGAAACAATCTCAACTTCCTGAGAAACATACAGAGCAAACTACTGATTTTATAGGTGCTAAAACACTAACATAACGCATATCATTGGTATGTGACGTATTTAACCCTATCCTCACGTCGTGTTTTACTATTGTATCCGTACGATGTGGGGAACTCTGTGCCATCACATTCAAAGAGAAAATTTACTTGTTAATCCAATCCGTATGCTTTACATAGCAGTCTGTCAAAATGACTTATTGAGATATACTGAAAGTTTCAAAAAGATTTTCGTACTAGAAGTATTCTAAAATGTGAAGAATACAACCCCCGGGGTACAAAATGACCCCAGGGCGTATGCATAGGGTTAAATGTCTTTCAGCCCTGATTCTCTCTTCAAAAGTTTCATTTTCAATCCAAATATAAAGCTTTGTCCTACTTTTTATCATTCATCATTTCTAGTTCATTTGCATTTTTGTGAATTGGTTAAGGATCACTGACAGAAATTTTGTTGGTATTGATCGTGACTTTGTAACTTTGTATTGGATATTCTTCATTTTCTTTCTTTGCAACATTAAATGTTGGCAGTTATGTTGATGCATGCGTCATTTAGATTTGTCTCGGTCTAACAAAAAATTTTGATATTTTTAAAGATTTCAGAGGCCTTTAAATAAAGAGACGAAATTAAGGTTTTAACGTTAATATTTACATTGTCATCTATTTAAAGTTAAAGAGGGTTATAAAGTATCAGTGGTAGTATAAGAATAATAAATAGATAAAAAGTAGCTGGTAAGTGGATGTAGTGTAATACATGCCTTCAGGGAAAAGTTACGTTGAGAAAGGTCACTGCTCTGCAGTAATTAGGTAGCCTTGTAATAGTGTTTTGGAGCACTCTGAAGATAGGTATATATGCCTTGCCAGTATAGATATACAGTCAAACCTGTGTTAAACGGCCACCCATTGTCAAGGAGAAAAGTGGCTGTATAACACAGAAGGCCGTCTTAGGCAGGACTGATCAAAATGGAAGAAAGCAAATCATTCTCTTCTGAGGTCAAAACTGGTGCCAATACCAGGCTTTAGACTGCAGTAGGGCTAATTCCAAATGGGGTTTTTTTGGTTTTTTTTGTAAAGTGGGGATGGGTGGTGTAAGAAGGTTTTTTTTTGTAAAGTGGGGATGGGTGGTGTAAGAAGGGTTTTTTGTGTTGTTGTTATGTTGGTTTGTTTTTTCTGCTTGGCTTTCTTTTGTTGTTGATTTTGTTCAAGGGTAAAATGAACGAAACATGTAAGTAAGACGATCAAGACCGAGTGGTAAAACAAACATACGGGTCGCCACCACTCGGAGAACAAGCGACGCTTCTGTCGCAAATTCACATCAATGTCCATTGTTACTTTGTTACAGATTAGGTAAACAAAACCGTTCCAGTCACCTCACATACGATTTGTGCATGAGTTCTAGGCAGTGCTTATAGGTTATGACGAATCACACGCTTCCCTCACTGCCAGTTGAAAATTTATTGTAAGAACTACCCATTATTCAACTTGGGTAAACATTCATTAGAGGGACTGACAATAACGACAGGTGAATGAATTATGATGGCTCGTCCACTGCGTGAGGGGCAGATTCAAAATTTATGACAAAGCGTCGGGCAAAGAGTGACCACAGTGGCCGCCTGGAGAATGCAAATTTGACCATGGGTTGATAAAATATGGCAGCCGTGTTGGACAGGTGACCGTTTTACACAATTAAATTATACAGAAAAATTGCAAGGGGGGAAATGGAAAGTGGCCGTTTGTACAGGTGGTCGTATTATACAGGTGGCCATCGTGGCAGGTTCGACTGTAGGCCTATATGGAAAAACTAATAATGATGTAGATTGTAAGGCGGTTAGAGCTTGCTGTTGAGCAGGAGTTTGCGCTATACATATTAGTGCAGTGAGGTTTTGAGGAAACAAAAAATCATCGAAGCTTCGAACCGTGAACGTACTATTCATGACATTTAAGTACGTCCGTTGAATGTTTTTTTCTTGTATATGATAAACATAAACCCAGACTTAAGTTCCTCTATTCTACATTCGCTAGCTATTCACAGCTCCATCAAATTGTCTTTTCTTGTATGAGATAAGCCCAGATTTTACTTTCGCAATTTGAAGTGCTGTCGAATCGTATTTTCTTATGTGATAAGCCCAGATGTAACTTCTGCTATTCATAGCGCATTGAATGGTTTTTTTCTTATATAAGATAAGCCCAGATCTAACTTCCGCAATTCGAAGCGCTGTCGAATAGTTTTTTCTTATATTATGATAGTCCGCCAGTCACTGAGCTCGCGTGTGTTGTTGTCGCAGACAGTGCAACGGGTTGACATCACTTCACCGTTCATAGCGCTTCGAATTTTGAATAGGGTAAGGGGAGCTCATTTCGACTGCTAACTTCATGGAAAAAACATTCGCTGCGATTCAAGAGTCATGTGCCCTTGCTTGAGTTGTCCATAGTGTGGCGAGTGAATATTGAATAATAAGGATATTTTTTAAAGGATTGTTTTATAATTCTTGAAGGCTCCTCTTATCACTCTGTCTCGTAACCATCAAATAAAGAGTAGTTCTGTATATATTTATCTTAATGATTTTAGATATGTGCTCCAATTTTTCTACATTTCAGAAAAATACAGACGAAAATCCATTATCTGTTTTTAAAAAAATCACATGGCATTCGAATGGCTCTGCCACGCTTCGAATAGCTGTGAATAGTGCAGAAATCATGAATGTCGAATAATAAAGTCGAATGGGCTCAGCTCTAATACATATAGGCTATTATTTTTGTTATTATTAAACTAGTTGTTTGACTTTGAAATTTGAAACAAATCCGTGAATAGGGAGAATATGTTGTGTGTTCTTTTATCTTTCTAAACTTTCTTTGTTTCATGTTTTTTGTTTAATTCCTTTCCATTTTCTTTTGAATGTTAAAGGAATTTATTTTTGACGGAAAACTTTTACCTCGATTTTATCTTGTGCCTTACAGAAGGTTAGTAATTTGTAGGTTAGCTCTCTGCTGTGGTCTCCTCCTACCTTTCAAACTTGTCTCCACCCCGCGGGGCAGTGCCACTGACTGTAGTGTCTTTAGGCTATTTCCAAAAGGGGGGACATTTCTCGTTCAAGCATAGTAGAATTGTAAATGGGCTGACTCATGTCACGCTCATAACTGTGCCTGATCTACAACAGGGAACTGCTGCTTTTTCTTTCCTGATCCTTACTTTTGCCATTTTCCTCTACTTCTTTTGTATGTTTGTCACTCTCTTTAATTGTGACCTGCTATTTCCAGGGTGCCTTGATAGTCGAAGCAGACCTTGTGCTGTTGAAGCTAGAGAGGTGAGCAGTCTAAGTCTGATTCCCTGTAAAGACTTCTCTATTGACACCCACCCCTTGGCGCTCATATGACCTTATGCAGTTGCGAGTGCCGTAAAACCCTCTACTATAAAAAAAAAAAAACCCACAAAAAAACTTGTCTTCCACAGTGCATCCATTGTTCCAGTGTATGCTTTTGGAGAAAATGATCTGTATGATCAAGTGCCGAATCCCCAAGGATCTAGAGTGAGACGGTTTCAGAATTTCTTGACCCATATGTTGGGATTTTCTCCTGCACTGTTTCATGGTCGAGGGGTCTTCAACTACACGTTTGGTTTGTTGCCCTATAGAAAACCAGTGCACACTGTAGGTAAGAACTCTTGTATAGACTTGGAATGTCAGTATTATTGTTGTCTCTGTTGTTATGTCAGCCTTGTGGTTGATTCAGATTAATGGAAAGTGTGGTGATAGTAATAATGTTTCTCTTTCTTTTTACCTTCTTAAAAGACCATTTTTGTGTGGTTGTGCTTCTCTGAGGATGTAGTTTTAGTATGGAGAAATATTCAGTTAAGGTCTTGTTGAAGTCTCCATTACAGTAACTTTTTATCTCTGAAGGGGATAAACCCACTATGCTTGGGCCCTCTTTTGGTACAAAATCTAAATCTGACATACATGCCTATTTTGATGGTTTTTCATCTGATGAATGAACCAGTCCGTATGAACAGACAATCAGAGACAATTGGAGAGAGAGAAAGTGCAGAACCACTCACAATACAACAACAGAATTTAAAAAAAACACAAAGGGGGAAATAGAGAGAGAGAGAGAGAAAGAAAGAAAGAGAGAGAGAGGGGGGAGAAAGAAAGAGAGACATATGATAAAACGAGGCCAGAATAACACACGCCAGAAAACACCGACAGGTTCAAAAACAATTATTAGTCTCACAGTAAGGAGAGAGAGAGGGGGGGGGGAGGGGAGAGAGAAAGAGTAAAAGGGAGGGTGTGTGTGAGTGTGTTGCTGTCTTTCAGTGAGTGTGTGTATTTGTGAGCGTGTGTGTGTGGGTGTGTGTGTGTGTGTGTGAGAGAGAGAGACAGAGAGAGCAGGGGGAGAGGAAGAGATGGGGAGAGAGAAAAAGCGGAAGGGAGGGAGTGTGTGTGTGTGCGTGTGTTTTGTAAGTGTGTGTATTTGTGAGTGTGTGTGTGTGAGAGAGAGAGAGA